GGGTGGGGGGAGGGGCGTCGGATTCAATGCTTTAGGGGGGAGCCCAGCAAAAGGGCGGGGCCGGACCCCTCACATGCTTGCCCGGATCCAACGCCTCAATATTCTGCAGGGCCCTCTCCCCATGCGCACGCGGGACCCTTGCACCCGGTCCCTCCTAGTGCCCTCTGCTGCCCTATCCACTGCACCCTTGGCTGCCGCCACCCCTCCCAAAAAAACACGGCCGGCTCGACGCGTGGCGCTTTCCAAGCGCACGCCGGGCGCGCCGTTGCCGCCAATCATCCCCCCTTCTCCCCCAAATGCACACCTGCCAGAAACGTCGTACAGGTTTGGGGCCTCCCCTCGCCAGTCCTGCAGCTGCCGCGGGTGCGCCACCAGCCACACGTGCACGTCAAAGGCCTGCGCAAAGCGCTTGACGCGCGCGAGCATCTGGCTGACAAACTCGGTCTCGGTGACGTGGCTGGGGCGGCGGTGGTCGAGCTCGTTGTAGGGGTCGATGATCAAGCCCCGGATGCCAAACCTGGGGGGTTGCGGATGGGTCGGCGGTGGGCACGAACGCGGTGGCACAGTGGTCTTGAGAGCAGGGGAGTAGAGAGCGTCGGAGGACGGGCGTGTCCAATGGTGCGTTGGCCGCGCAGGGGGCCGGGGGGAAGAGGCCGAGGCAACAATGCTGGCATCGAGTGTGCACAAGCAGGCCGACAGGTTTGAGCGTGTGCGGGGACCAGCCCCCCGCCTTGGCCTGGACCATGGTGTGTCGAGGGCCGCCCCGCCCAACTGCTGCCCCAAACCCCACCCTCCGGCCCACCTGAGCACTAGAATGCGCGCCCTCTCCAGCACGAAGTCGATCGTGGGCAGCTGCTCCCCAGGCGGCGGCACGATGCGGTGGAACATCTCGTCCACCCACAGCGCGCCGGCGACGGCCTCCTCCCAGCTCATGCGCACGCGGCCGCCGGCGCCGTCGTAGAAGGGCTTGCCCACCCTCTTCTCAAGCAGCTTGATCAGGTGACCCACGGGCTCGTTCTCGAGGCTGCACAGGGCGATGCGCCAGCCCTGTGGGTGCACATGCGTGTTGGTGTTTTCTGAGTGTGTGCATGTGTAATTACATGTGTGCATGTGCTCGCACATGTGTGAGTTGATGGTGGTGTTTTTGTTAGTGTGTTTTTGTCGGTGTGTGTTTGTTGGTGTTGGTGTGTGTGGGTGTCACACACGCCTGCAAGGAGAGTAGTGAAGGGCGTAGACAGGTGTCATGGGACGTTTTGAGAGGGAACAGGTGGACGATGCGCAGGGGCTGGCGGCCCAAAGCAAAGGTGTTTTGTGTGTCAGACGGCAGGGTAAGGGGGCCGCCGCGCCAGGGTTTGTGGCGGCCGTTTTGGATGGGGTGTCGTGGCGCGCACCTGCTGCGCTGCCAGGTTGACGGCGAGGGCGTCGAGCCACTCGCTCTTGCCGCTGTTGGGGACCCCCGTCACCAGCGTCAGCTCCCCGGGCGGCACCTGCGGTGAAGAGTGAGCGCCAGAGGCGGGGATACTGGACAAGCACTGAGCCCAGGCGCAGCGCGGCGCGGCCCCACGTTGCTGCTCAGGACTCTGTGATTTGTGCCGATCCCCATCCATACACACAGACGCACACGCGCGTGCGCACGCACGCATGCACGTATGGACTACACACACACACACACACACACACACACACAGCACCCGAACATACGGCCACAGCGGCACCCCGCGGCCGCCCCCCACCTTGTAGCAGCCGTCCACCCCGCCCCACCCCGTGCTGGCCGCCGCCTCGCGCCCGTCGCCGCCCGCCTGCGCCGCGTACAGGTCCAGCAGCTCCTCCCAGAAAGACGCAAACCGCTGCAGCCCAGGCACAGGCAGGGGCTGCGCGGCCGCGACGTACTCGCGCAGCGCCGCGGGGCCATCCTTCAACAGCACCTCGTTTGCGTCCTTGCGGAACCAGGGGGACGGCGGCGCCGCCGCCGCGGCGGCCGCTGCGCCGGCGCCGCCTGAGGCGCCGTTGCCGTTGCTGGCAAAGAGACCGTCGCCGCCGCCGCCGCCGAGCACATCCCAGGGAGCCGCCTGCTGCTGCGGCGGCTGCGGCTGCGGCGCCTCCGCTCCCCCTGCCCCGCGCCCCGCGAGGCTGCCGCCCTCGTCGCTGGGCCACTGCACCACGAGGCACCGGTCCCGCCCCAGCCGCCGGGCGAGCTCGTGCGTCAAGGCAAACCCGGGCGCGTCGTTGTCGGCCGCGAGGATCACCCTCCTGGCCAGCGCCAGCAGGCCCTCGCACTCCCGGAGGTACCCAAACTTTGCGTCCGACCGCGGGTCCGGCAGCGGGCCGTCCTGGGGCTTCGCGGGGGCGCCGTCGGGCACGGACAGGACGTTCTGGAAGCCGGCCTCGTTGAGGGCGAGCTTGTCCATTTCGCCCTCCACGATGATGACCTCCTCGCCGCCCGACTGGAGGTGCCTCTGGGGGCCGCAAGGGGGGGGAGGGCGAGGGCGGGCGCCGCGCGGCGGGGTGTGGGTGGATGTGTGGGTGGGAGGGCGTGCGGGTGTTTGGGTGTGTGGGTGCGCGTGTGTGTGTGTGGGCGTGTGGGTGTGTAGGTGTGTGGATGCTGTGTAGTGTGCATGTGTGGGGGTGTCGCTGGCTGGAGTCACCGCCCCACCAGCCCAATCCCCCCCCCC